ATAAATTCAAATTTCATATTTTAGAATACTTGGGTGAAAATACCACAAAAACCTAAAACTGTTCATCTTATTAATAAAACTGTAAATACTATACAAGCATTGCTAAATTTCAATACATTTCTTAGCATCTACTTAGGTTTGTGCACAGGTATTAAACTTTAAGGTCATGATACTCCATTTCCTCAAATTCCATATCCTACCCGTACTCATGCTCTTTCGTTACCTGCATTTGTTCATGATTTGGAATGTAGTCTATCTTTTCACCCTTGAAAGTTCAGCTCATTCATTATCTCACATACATGAGTATACATAACACAACCCCCTTGGTGCACACAAGCCTTTCATGACTTCCTAAAAGTAAGAAAAATAAGCATGTGAAATAACATGACCCAAGGTAGCATCTTATTTTCTAACAAAAAAATAAATAAATGTACATCACCTGCGTGAAGCTACATGTGCACCTGAAAGTAAACTTGTCAGCATATTTTACTGAATGATTATCCAGATAGTCAACAATTATCCACAAATAAACATTATGTAATAATATCTCAAGGTCTGCTGATCAATCAGAAACATGAAAATTAATTTTAAAAGAATCTGTCACAGAGTAGAATTAGTATTGATATAAAATTCTGTCCTAATTCTAACTCAATAGATTGCATAAGTAGGTTTATGCCTTTATTTTTAATATTGTGTGGCAATGCTAGCCAATCTAATCAGTGAACCAGTATAAGAAATTTATGACAATCAAACTATCCTGTCAATGAGAAAAAATAAAAAAATATTGCATTTGTACTATATAATTCACACCAAAAGAATTAAAGGAAAGGCATGCAATACTTTATTAGCTAATTTTTAAGAAACAATTCCATGCGATCAAAATGATTGTAAGGTAACAATTTCCGCGATACTTTTAAATAGATTTTACTAATACTCTTGAGAATGTCATATACACACACAATGTATTTTTTATCATAGTCATCTGTATATTCTCCCCATATTTCCTCCTAAATCTAGTCCCTATCCCCTCCAAATTTTATGACATTTTTAAAGAAATTAACCCGCCGAGCTCAGTTGGTGCTTACCATACACCCATGAGTGTGGGGCCATCCATTTCAGCATGGATGACCAACCAGAAGTGGTACCCTTGATGAAAACAGACTCCTTCTCCCCCTCCTCCCATGGCTAGCCATCAGCTGAAATAGCTCATCCGCGAAGGGTGGGGCCTCACCAGCCCTTCTCCTGTCTATGCCAGGATACTGACTGGCTTCATCTTGGACAGGTCTGGGCATGCAACCAGAGCTGCCGTGGGGTTATACCTCTATCAGTCCTGTCATGTGCAGAAAACATTATTTCACAACACCACAGCCCTGGCCAAACTCCAGCTCTTAAAATCTTTCTGCTCTCTCTTCCAAAAATGTTTCCTGAGCTTTGAGGGGGAGAAGATATGATACTAGTGTCCCAATTATGACAGAGCAATCCACCATCACTTACTCTCTGTACTTGGACCACTTAGGAGGTTCTGTGTTAACTACCATCCACTGCACAAAGAATTCCCTGGTGAGGTCTGAGAGCTGCACTAAATATGGATATAGAGATCTGAATTTAGAGGAAAGTTTGATACTGTGCCCATTTAGCAGAATAATAGATTTACCTCTGGGGTCTGTGAACTTCCCAGACATAAGCTCAGATATATAATACTAAGCAAGCATTTCCTCCTGTGGAGAAGGAATCAAATCTAATCAGGAAGCTATTAGATACCCTCATAAGATTCATGCTACTATTGTACCCACAAGCATATCTTAATGTTGTAGCATTTTATTTATGTGATAGACCACCACTTGATAACAAAGTGCCAGATTCCTTATTGTCCTTACTATCTATGTAAAATAACTGCTTAAATAAGTACACACACACACACACACACACACACACACACACACACACACACACACACACACACACCTCCTGTTTATGTTCTTGAGGCTGTCCCAGTACCCAAATACCCAGTACTGTGTGTACACCTGGTTGTGTGTCAGTTCCTGAGACGCTAAACACTCTCTGAACCACCAATGGGGGTGGTCAGTGAGATAAGACTAGTCTCTGAATCCAATCACAGAGGAGAAAGTATTCAAGTATTCAAGCCATGAGTGGACCAAAATAGTTTTGAACTGACAGATTTGACCAAAGTTCAGAATTAGAACACATAATCAGAAGAGGAAAGGGAAGGCAGGAAAAGCAATACAGACAGAGGTTAGGAATTACAAAATGCCATTACGGCTTAGGCTTTGCCCTAGGACTGGGGAAAATATAAAAAGATGTTTCTAAGTGTGAATGACCTACACAGACCACCCTAGTGGGCAAGGATATTCGAGTGCCTTCATAGGACAGTCTCTAGCAGAGCATATAATTTTAAATCAGGTGCATGTGAACCAGCAGGATGGCAGAGAACTAGCTGTTTCAGAAGCTGCCAGGAAAGGCAAAGGTTACTAATGTCCTATGGAGTAGTGAAGTGATAACTTTTGTACACAACTGATTTATTACATAGAGCACCTACAAATCAACATGCAGCTATGGACACCATATAATAGTGAACTAAAAAATACCATTTCTCCTCAGCATTAATTCAAATCATACCAATTTTTTGGCTTAGTTTCAAATTCCAGTAAAGTTTTAGTAATGCATACAATAGCCATATAGAAATGACTTCTTGCCAGGCCTGGTGATACCAGCAATGGGGTGGGGGTTATGAGAGAGGATGTATTTTCTTTCTTTTATTTAATGAGGGAAGTTCACCTTTGGGGTCTCCATGAGCCTTCTATTCCAAATCCTCAGACAAATAATTGTTTCTAACATTCAAAGAAAAAAATGTTGGAAACTACTATTCTTAAAAGTCCATGTTCCCTACAAGAAGACACTCTACTCTCAACTAAGTATCTGTCTTTCTATGGGAGACAAGATATTCACCATAGCAAATAAAAATGGTATGTCAGGAGAAATTTTAAGAAAGGGTTTAGTATTCTTTACATATTTAAATTACCTTTAGAAAAAATGAGTAAAGAAGTCATTTTAATAAGTTGGTATTTATAATTGTCTACTCTAAGAGCCTAGAATTAGGTATCAGACATTTACATACCAAACACATATATACATGTATATATTACATATATATTTATAACAACTAATAATTTCTTGAAAAAAGACATACAATAAGTCATAATGGCTAATGAAACATTTTTTTGTTCTTCTCTGAGTTTCTGATTCTTATTTTTTTTTTATCCATTAGATGGAATGCCCAAAGGAAAACAAAGCAATCACATTATTTGACTTAGTTGGTATTAAGTGGTAATTGTCTAAAGATCTAACAGGGTAGATATTAAAGCTATCTCCTAAAATAGGGACAATTATATAAGTATTGTTTTCAGTTAAGTATACTGTAATTGTGCCCTCAGCAATGCATCTACATAAGGCAAGCAAATTATGATTATGAAGAATATAATTGTATGTCATTATCTAAATTGTACATGGTTCAGCCCTGCTTCAGAATGTGGGTTCCTTACGGGTCTTATTTATGGCATACAAAAATTATATGTTCACCTTGATCAATAGTTAAATTGGTGATTAATAAATGCTTAGCAGCAATTAGTCCAAAAATCCAAATCCAAATACAACTTATCTAGGGATAGGAGGCAGGTAGATGTGTGTAATGTTGGCAGCACTGACTTTGAAGGTCAAGAGATACAGCTCGGTAAAAGCCCAGGCAGGGAGTCTTTGTCGATATCTAAGGCAGGGAAGGAGCCATTGTCAGAACATGAAAAGGGAACTTTTCTGCCACTTGGATGTGCAGGGGGGAAAGCAAGAAGTGGAAATTACTCAGCCGCGGTGATTGGAACAAGAATAAAGCTAATGCAACAGAATCCAAACAAAGCGACACAATAGGCAACTCTATAGAAATAAAATTGGATTTCCAAACTGGGTTTTAAGACCATGCTACAAGCTATATGCTACAGCAAGAGGTAAATGCTACCAGTCCTTTACATTTTCAGAGAGCCCCATAAATTCTGCACAATGGGCCAAATTGATTCACAACATGACCTCCATAACAGAAAAGCCACCTCCAGGAAAAAGCTTTCCCAAAACTGTGTAGAACTTAATGAAAATAACTACCTTCTTCCAAACAGACCTGGAGGTGGGGTAAGACTGCTCATTGTCTACAGTGAACTTAATCCCAACCCTTAACACAGCAGAGATTTCAACTGAACCAACGCTTTAGATAAATTGTCCTCGGATGCTAGGCATTGGAAGTAACCTCAACACTATAGCTAATTTGGTAGCTTTTATTTCCACAAAGCCAGCCTTTGGCTTAAAAATAAGAAGTAGTGACTGCAGCACAAAAATATATAAAATTGATATGTTATGGGGTAGGGGACTGTGATGCCAGGCAGTGCCCAGGTACACACAAAAGTTAGTCTCCCTGCGTATGACATTGGTTGTTTCTATGGGCTATAGTAGCCATAAGAAACTAAAATCCCAACATATAAAGAGATATATAAATTATGAATACTCTAAACATCCAATAATGTTAATGATGCGTCATTTGTCCATATCTTTTTCACAGAGGAAGAAAGAGGTAGGAGGCACTTCCCTTTGGCAATAGCTTGAAGGGGGTTCAAATTGACCTTGGAAAACAGAATGCTATGACTTCTTAGACTCTTTCATTCCATGAACAGATGATTTTAGAGTGACTCTTTTCTTCCTCTCCATTTAGATTGCCACTATTACAAGACTGACTGTGTTTAAATGTTAGGGCTGGTATAAGAAATGAGAACTAATAAAACAGTGAAGTGCTCCACTTTCAAGTCAGTGAACCAAAGCAATGGTTAGAATCGCGATACAGCTGAGTACCTGGATACTGGGATGAACCCGAGGCATTGCACTGTTGATGGGCTTGCGATTATAATAACGGTTAAGTGATAACACTGTACTCTAACTGTCCTCAGGCTCGATGGGATGGCTTGACTGGGCGTATCACCTTTAATAAGACCGATGGCTTGAGAAAGGATTTTGACCTGGACATTATCAGTCTCAAGGAGGAAGGAACTGAAAAGGTAACCTCCTTGATGATGAATAAAGTCACCAATAGACTCGCGAAAGGGCACTGTTCATGCGTTTCACCTAAATGGCACAGACAAGTGGGAGAATGATAAAAATGACTTTCTTAGCATACTCCTTAGCACCCCGCCTTCTAGATCGTTCTCTCACATTGGAAGTCAGGCATGGGTGGGATAGATTCTCAACTTACATGTGGAACTAATAGCATTAACTAATGTCCATCAATGCTTGGTCTATAAAGCAAATATGTATTGTTGCCTACATAACCCCATGCACTGGCATTCTTAGGCCAGTTTCTCAAAGATTTAACAAAAGTTGGGTTTAGACTTGGAACTGTGGAAATTGCATCTGGCTTATCTATGGTAAAGCATCCAAGGGTTACTCAGAAATTAATTTTAGCTGAACTCTATTTTGAGTATGGTGACAGAGGGAAGGGATAAAATAGTGTAGAAAAGGCTTACTGGAGCAAATTAACATTGCATCCTTAATTTAGGACAAATGCTAGAAAAAATTTAATTTTAATGTTGGATTCTCACTTTAGGATTATTTTAGTTGGCAGTCTCAATTTCAAAGTTTGAACTTTTATTTTAGTTATTATTTATACTAACACAAAGGTAAACTGTTAAGTAATCATGATCAAAGAATTTAGCTGCTCAATATATTTTCTCAATTCAGTTTAATATCTATGTCCACAAGTTGCAATCAGCATTTATAGTTTGAGGATTTGCCTTCAGAGCCCTAAAGAACAACAGATTTTGAAAGCCCAAAGCAGTCACCTGGACATCGGAACTCCATGAACCAGGACATTTTCAGATGGTGGTGACTAACACACAAAGCCTGGTACTCAGTATAAAAGGGCCCTTGGAAACAGCTTATTGCTTGTTTGATTTCAAATAGTTGAGCTTATTTTTAAAGCAAGGTAAGGTTTTCATGTCTGTTTCATTGTTTTCATTTACTGGGACACAATTCTCCCTTGGCATATTTTAACTCCCTTCTCCCCTCACATCCCAGCCCCATGCACCATTAATTGAAACAAAGATTAATTAGCCTGGATGTTGTAGAAGGCTATCACGGGTGTTGATATGTTTGAGAAAAACAATTAGCTCACAACTTTGAGAGTACGTGCGTGTGGAGTTCCCATTTCAAAAATCCTGCTTCTTCCCCTCCCCTAGTTTGGTCTTCAATCTGTCTCTCTCTTTCACTGGTTTGATCATCTTTACCCTGCTGTGTTCCTCTGCTGGTTTAACAGAGAACTAAGCATCCACCTGCCCTGAAATAATTGCATATTTGGACCAGGAGGAACAGAAAAGAATGTTCATTATAACCTAAAAGCTTGTGGTTATTTAAAAGAATATATCTGTTTCCTCTAGGCCCACTCCATTCTGCCTTTTTGCCTTTTGGTGAGAAGTAATGTGGTTAAGGAAATATCTTTCTTGGCTCAGACAGGTGATGAGAGAGATGGAACTATTGTGATGTCTCCACAGCTATTTATATACACAGCAATATTATGCACATTCTACTGGTGTTTTTCTATTAAAAGCAAAATCAAATTAGATGAAAGTATTTTCTATTTGTTTCTTATCTATTCAATGTTTGCAATAACTTTTTTCTTCAGGTGACTTGGGCTCAGTTCCTGAGATTGCTGGTTGAGCCTTGAAGGCAATGGGGGAAGCTAACACATGTCCCTCGAGAGCCAAGGGAAGACATGCCCACACTTTCCATGCCAGCTTCTCTGGGCTCACAGACGAACCATTTCCAAAAGTCCACCCATCACTTGCCCAGCTTTCTACTGCCTGCAAACTCATAATCAAAGGATACATCATTCAACATATTTATCCGTGTAGTTTAGAAAGCACACGTGTGTGTGTGTGTGTGTGTGTGTGTGTGTGTGTGTGTGTGTGTGTGTGTGTGTACTGAATGACTGGCTGATTTTTATCATGAATTCCTTCAACAACTCTCTTAAAGCATGATGAATATCCTTTAACCCTGCAGCATACCTGTAAACATTCAAAGGTGCTTTAATTACTTTCTTCTGTGTGAAAGGAGCACACAACTTCTGTGGTACCCAGCCTCCATTTTCCTTTCCTTGTTGTACCTATTGTTGGTCTTTCTATGAATTAAAATGCAAAATTCCAAACAACAGGTGAGGAGTGCAATGCACTCTGTGTACTTCATGGGTTCCATGCTGCATTTTAATTAAGTGTGTTTTTATTTTTTCCCTCTGAAAAACCAAGGCTGCTGGTGAAGTGTCTAAGCACTTGTATAAAGTGTGGAAGAAGGTTTGTACCCTGATAACAACAGCAGGACACTTGGGGATGGGGTGGCTGCACCCTGCCAGTCTTACAAAACCAGCAGCTTCCCAGCTGCAGGCTAGGGGTGAGACTCCACAGAAGTGGGACGCAGAGTGGGTTCACTCTCAGCATCATCAGGAATTGCAAGTAGACATGTGGTGGGTTAATGAGTGATGGGTGGGTAACTATCCCCCCTGGATTAGATTTTCTACTGGACAGGATCAGTGTCTGTGAAGACTGCAAGCAGGTAACAGGAATGAACACACACAGGGGCCCATTTATAGATCTTCTCAAACCACGGAATATTTCCCCCAAGGGGAACAAAAACAATAGATTTGATCCATCAGACTAGTCAGACAGGCAAGGGCACTTCCTTCAATGTCACCACTGGGAAAAATGGGCCATTTTCAGAAACTCCCCTTTCTTATGAGCTCTTTGTTTTGCCAGAGCATAGGCTTGAAATTTATTTTAGAACTAGTTTCCAGAGGACAAATCATCAGAAAACTTTTGAAGGGAAATGAGATTATCTTGTGAATTTTAGCACCCACTATTTCATAGTTTATTGTACATGATCGTGTTGCCAGTGACTGTGCATAGATTTACATAAGCAGATGTTAGACCCAGAAAGACTCTTGTGGAGAAAATGGCTCCATTCTTTCTCCTCGCTCCCACCTCTCTCTTTTTTCCCTCTCTCACTCTGTCTAAAACCAGTTGTAAAATTTCTCTTGATTGATGGATGGACTTTAAATGACTTCAGGTTGTTCAGCTTGAACAGTTTGTCAGGCTCACTTCCACCTTTCAAATGATTGGCTGAGTCACAGAAAGTGTAAACATCTTCTACAAGTAGCCAAAAATCTCATCATCCCCTTGGTAGAACTCAGTAGATGATCTCAGAAATATCCTTTTAAGTATTAAAAGTCATGGGCTTAATAAATTGCTTTATCAATGAACCAAGTTGCAAAGTGCCCATTGGAGGTGAACTAGTTTCCTCACTGGGAGTAAAGAGATGTATCTACCCACCACTCTGAAAGCAGCTTATTGCTTAAGACTCCTGGCACTTTATGCAATGCTGAATTAATTTAAACTAAATACTCTATGGGATAGATAGAGTCTAGTCTCTGAAATTAAACTCAAGGGAGAGGAACAGTCCTAGAAGCACCACTACACTGTACCATGTGCATCCACATCTCAAGGATGTTATAACAACTTCACCTTGCTAGTTCATGACTTCCTTCCTCATCCTCTCTGCTAATCCTTCATTGCTCACATTATCAGCTGAATGGGGGTCATGGTTCATCTACTATTCTCAGTAATGGCACTCCAGCCCAGGGACTCAGTCAAACCCAACAAACAAGTTGCACTTCCCTAAGCAGATTCTGTCTTTAAGAGAAGAGTTTGCTCCAGCATAGCCATAGCCCAGAACTTTCCTCAGCATCAGGACTTTATCTAAAACACCAGATAGCTCACCTGACATTCTTGGCAAGCAAGGGTGAGAGTAAACTTTGCAAGACACTCCCACACTAAGGAGCCTTAGGGAAGAGAAAACATTAACACTTTTAATTTTGTTTCCTATACATGCCTAGTTATTTCATTCAGCCGGTTTAGATCCCTTGTTCCTGTGACTCCAGGTTTGGAAAACAGATCCTAATGACTCGCTCTTAAATTCCCTGTTTCATCACTTTTGAAAAGTTGGCTCGATATTCCCTGGACATTCATTCACACATACATTTCAGATACCAAATGGCTGCTTCCCCATGCCAATTTGACAATGAGAGAAGGCAGGCCAGACAATTTGAGTGTTCCTCCCCCACATGTAAGAGCTCCCCACCCAAGGCTTCTCAGCAGTGAATTACTGCTGTCGGCATTTGCTTCACAGTCTGGAAATTGAAGTTCTGCCTTGTAGAGGCATTCCTCCCTGGTCGCAGAGCACAGTCGAAAGGCCAGCATCTGGGCATCTGGTTAAATGCACAGCTCTGTCCAGCATGCATGCATCAGCGCCTCACAGAGTCCCAGCTCGTCAGAGACACTAGCTTGCTGACAGCCTGTCCATTTATTTCAATTAAGAAGCAAAGCCAGTACAACAGCCTGCCCTTTCCTTGATTCTCATACTGGATTTGTTTTTATGGAATGGTTCTTCTGCAGTCCAGCTGGCAGGAAAATCATCTCCTTTTCCTCATTTTACAGAGGAAGATCTGTGCTCTCGGGACTTTGAGAGGGAGTCAATGGCAGGATTCTAGCAATAGTCTCTTAGCACTTCACTTACCACTCTGCCTCTGCTGGGAAAAGGAAGAAAAGCCAGAGGCAAAGTGGGAGAGAATATTTACCTAAAGCTTTAGGCTTTATTTTAGAAAAGAATATTACAGCAGCATCCAATAATGCCATTTTTAAAGATTAAAGGTATTATTTAAACACACACTTAACATTAGTGAGAATAAGAGTTAAATGCACTCTGATTTTAAAAGTGGCTCAAGTCACAAGCATGCTCTCTAATACTTAATTAAAAACTGAATTCTATTCTCCTCAGTGTCCATATCAATGTTTAATTGAAATGGTACCAAGGGGCCCACCTTACACATGCAAACATCTTATGCAATAAAGCCTGAAGTATAGGATAAGAAAAAATGTTGTTTACCTTGATGTGTGAGTCCCAAAAGCCAACGTTCTGCCTCAAAATCATTGGAGGAGGGAAGGTTAAAAAGAGTATGTCCAATTTCCCAAGATAATGGCTCACAAAAGGAAACAGATGCTCTCTCATTAACAGATAGATTATATACCACAAGAAGCCCTGAAAGTATTGAGTGGTTCTCAAAGGTGGAGGCTGATATCCCATCATACTCCTAAGGTCCACTCTGTAGACAGTTGCTACACCCAGTGCTCTACTCACCCCCATCAGTCTCTACATTTCTCCACCAAATTAACCCTGATTAGTGTGGAGGAGAGAGATAGAAATAGTTTATATTAATGTGTGAATATGTTATAGCTCTTAGAATTGTCTCAAAGAATTTGTATCTCTAAAAAGATGCCTGCCAAGCTAATGTTGCTCCAGAAGTCAATCAAAGCAGAGAAAGCAGAGGCAGAACCTAGCATGTTCGCATAGGTAATTTGTTTAACTGTGAAAAGAAAAGAGGAAAGCACTTTTGAGCTAGAGACATGCCTCAGTAATTCAAAGCATTTACTATTCTTCCAGGGGGCTGGAGTTCTGTTTGCAGCATGCACATCAAAATGCTCACAACTGCCTGTAACTCCAGCTTGAGGGAATTTGACTCCCTCTTCCAGCCCCAAAAGGCACCCTCCCAGACACAGGGCATACATTCATAGAGACACACATACACACAAATAAAAATAAATCTTTAAAAAGAATTTTAAAAGCATTTTCCTCTCCATTTTGCTGGTGATTAAAATTGAGGCACAGAAGGCCTAATCTACTGCCCCAGGTCACATACCTGGTAGACTGCAAAGTCAAGATCTACACAAAAGTCTCTCTACACAGCCCACGCTCTGTCTACCAAGCTGAGTGTCTTCCTGTAGAAAGAAGCCTATTCCCAAACTGAGGGAAGATATTTAGGTGTCAAGCACAGATCTCCCCTGTCTGTGTGAACTTGTCTAAATGCTAGAGTCATAGATGCCTGATTTTCATAGCTCATTTCCTTTCACATTTTCTAAAGGAAAAAAAATCAGCCATTGCAAACTATTTCACAAGGTGAGCTTTAAGAAATTGCTGTGAAAGTCATTTACATGACTTGTGTGATTATTTGCACAGCTCTTAACGTATGCAAGTACTTCCATGTCTACCATCTCATCTGATCTTCTCATCATCTCTGTAACATAGAGAGCAGGAACCCAGAAAGATCAGCACCCTATTTAAGGTCACACAGCCACTACCTGGCTATTTCCACCTGACTTTCAAACACGTTCCTTGTCCTGAGGCTAACAGTAAATGTGCACAGGACTGGGCCAAATAGCTCAATTTTCATAGCTCTTTCCTGGGTCATCTCAAATACTAAATAAATCAATGCATGGGTAGAGTATCCCTTACCATAATTGCTTGAGAAGAGAAAAGTCTGGATTTTATTTTTAATTTTGAGATATTTTCATGGGCAAGGAAGATCTCTTGGGATAGGACCCAAGCCTAAACTAGAAATTTGCTGATATTCCATATACTGTTTAAAGAACTGGAAATTTAGATTTCATCTTGTGTTCATTCTTTGAGTTAACATAGAGACCAATGGGTTTCATTATATTTTCATGAATGTATACAAGTGTACTCTGGTCTCATCTCCTATTGTCTTATGTTCCCACTGGTCCTTACCTCTCCCTAAATCATCTGTGCTTTCATGTCATATGTGTGCAAAATTTCATACACACCTTACACAGATAGCTGGAAGATAGTCTTTATTATTATTTTTATTTATTCTTCTCTCATACAATACAGCCCAACAGAAGCTTCCCCTTCCTCCACTCCTCCCAGTTTCTCCCTCTTCTCTCACATATCCACCCACCACACATCTCCTCCCTGCTCCTGGCCCCTCAGAAAAAAAGCAGGCCTCCCAGGGACATCAACAGAACATGGCACAAGTTGCAATCAGACTAGGCACAAACCCTCACACTAATGCTGGACCAAAACAATCAAGTAAGAGGAAAAGGGTCCCAAGAGTAGTCAAAGAGTCAGAGATGCCCCCTCCCACTGTTAGGGGTCCCACAAAAACACCAGTCTAACAACCATAACATGTATGCAGAGAACTCAGCCCAGACCCATGCAGGCTCGGCAATTTCTGCTTCAGTCTCTGTGAGCCCCCATGAGCCCTGCTTAGTTGATTCTGGGGCCCATGTGCTCTGGGTATCCTTCACCTCTCTGCCTCTCCTACTTTTCCTCCCCCTCTTCTTGGGGGCTTCAGCTTTTTTAGCACCTCTTTTTTGACTCTGACACATTTCCTGAGGTCAGGTGGTGCTAAAGAACTTTGAATTGGGGCATCAGGAATGATCAGCATCAATATCTTATAGGGCCTAACACATTAGCAGTGACCAGGCCACTGGAGACATAAGACGACATCATTTTGTAAGGGTCATTGAGCCAATAATCACCACTGGCTCTCTGGTAGAAAAAAATAAAAGTCAATGAAAAATAAAATTTCCCTACTGGAAGAGTTCATGGTCAAGTGGACACAGAACACAGATAAGCAAGTAGTAATGATGAAAGACGTGAGGTGTTCGGACGGCGGTTGTGCACTGCGTCCTGTTGGGATGCAAAAGAGGGACCCCTCTGGGCACTGGCTCCTCAGTAAGCATGAGTCCTGAATTTTGTCAACCTCTTGTCTATGTAATTTCTCCCATCTGCCTTTCCAATTCCAAATCCCTCCACCACCCACCCTGCTCTTTCCATCCCAGCAATCACATATTTTCAAGGAACTGGTGTTCACAGTGTGGTGGCATGATGTTTGATGTCAGCAGAATGTAACAAGAGTGTTTGTTTGTTACTATGTGCTGTGTCGTCCAGTGCCTACAGCTGTGCTGGACATGGAAGTAGGTGCTCAACAAACGCACTACAGAGGGAAAATCTGATATAGTCATTTACTCCCAAATGTTTTAATTTAAAAAAAAAACAGTAATGAGCTTAATAATTAAAAGTAAAAATTCCAAGCCACTGTGGTGACACACAGCTTTAATCCCAACACTTGGGAGGCAGAGAAAAGCAGATCTCTGAGTTTAAGGCTAGCCTGGTCTACAAAGGGAAATCTTTGTCTCAAAGAGAAACCCTGTCTCAAATAACCAAAAATTGGTTAATTAATTGAAAGTAAAATAAAGTCCATGCGTTCCCACTAGTTTGGTTTGGTTGTCTCAGTAGGCTTCCCAATCCCTGGTGCATGAGAGGACGTTTTGGAGCCCACTACCTGAGATGGGATACATTGCACAGCCTTGATGCAGGGGGAGGGGCTTGGACCTGCCTCTACTGAACATATCAGGCTCTGCTGACTCCCCATGGGAGGCCATAACTTGTTGGAGGAAGGAATAGAGAGTGGCTTGTGGGGAAAGGCCAGAGGGGCTGGAGGAGAGAAGAGAGGGAGATCTGTGGTTGATATGTAAAATGAGTAAAAAAATTTTTAATAAGTCAAATAAAATAAAAATGCCTCCTGCACCTGTCTTAAAGAGCCCAAATTTTTCTGATTCTGTCTACACCCTCATCCTTCTATTGTGCCACTCTCCTGTAGCAAGTAGCCTCCACTGCGATGCCCTGGTGCCCCTGGGTATAAGCTTTGGTTCCCATTCCTGGTATAGTGGGACCTCTGTTTTAACATGAGTGCTGCTGTGGGCAACTGGCAGCCTCTGATACCCTGTGTTCTGTGCAGATTGGGATTTGGAACTCCAACAGTGGGCTGAACATGACAGACGGCAACAGAGACAGGTCCAACAATATCACGGATTCGCTGGCCAACCGAACACTCATTGTCACCACTATTCTGGTAAGCTGTGAAGCCCTGGCCTTTTATCTGCACTCCCACACAAGACCTGAAAGGATCCTTCCACTGTCTTTTTCAGGCTGGCAGTTCTGTCTGCATGTGTCTATTTTTCAAACTGGGAAACTAAAAGCATACATTTGTACATGCTTAAAGGAGTGAAATGTAAGCCTCAAAACCTCTCTACAGACTTTCATCTTACCAGAATCCCAGGTCCATTCTTACCTCTCTCCGCCCCACCCAGGGGCTCTTTCTTGTTCTTTGCCTGATGAATTGCTGGATGGTTTCAAGCAAGAGGAGACTCTAGCAACAGACCCGGGAAGTGGCACAGAGGTGGCAGGGGATGGGGTGGCTGGGGAAAAGGGTGGCAGTGAGATTGCTTTCTGTGACCTCCCTATGCTGTCAATCAATTTTTCCCCATGTCTTTCCATAACATAATTCCTGCTCTGTCAATTCCCCTGCACCCAGGTTCCAGCTTCTCTGGAGTCTGGCAACATACCCATCTCTGCCATGGTTTCCCCTAGTTTCCTGGTTTAATAGGTCCCTGAATACCACATTGCATTTCCATTCTTACCCCCCTCCAATGGCTCCTCTCCATGGGCTCATATCTCTGGAAATAACCCTTGTGTTAACTGATTTCCAAAAGACGTGTGTCCCATTGCCATTCTGGTCTTATGCCCAGTTAGCCACTGTATACAAGCCAGCCAATTTCTCTCTCTTTCTTTTCCCAAGAGATCTAGGTAGGCATAGTGCACTCTGAACTCTGCATTTAAAGGCATGCTTTGCTTTATTTCTTTCAGTCCTTGGTATTAGAGCTATTTTTCTTTGAATTTGCCTTGTGAGACATGATTATCAAAAGTATATCTGTTATTTTCTTGTTGTTTTGTTTTGTGTTTTATTCTGGCCATTACTTTTGCTGCAACCACCTTATGGAAATTAGGTTTGGAGGGGGGCTGTTTTGTTTCATTTTGTTTTGAAAGGTTCATTGTGTAGAATTGGCTGTCCTGGAACTCCCCTATGTTGCCACTCTGGGCAACAATTTTCTATTGCGGTTGCATGATCCAACTGTCAATTTACTTGATGAGAAACCTAAACATACAGGGCATCTCATCAGTAGAGTGATTATTATAATTGTATAAAACAAAATAAACCTTTATTTACTCAAGGGAGAATTAGCAAGTTTACAGATGCATGGTAGGAAAATGGCCATTACTCATAAGATAAGGGATTTATCATATAATCATCTAAGGAAAGCATTATCATATTTGAGGTTCAAGGTGATTTCAAACAAGACTATAGGACTGATGAAATAGGAAACCTTGGAAATAGCCAGCTACCACTCCCTGGGGGACCAGCCCCCAGCAGCACAGGGTTCAAGGGGAATCCACAGAGCCGATGCATACTAAGACTTTTCTATCTGAGGGGGTAAAGGGAAAAGATACTCACACACTCTCTTGATGGTCTCCTTCAGACCTTTTCTCTATTCTTCTTTCATTTTCTCTATTCATTATTTTCCTCCTTTCATTCTTGTCATTTTCCTTCTAATTCTATCTTATTCTTCCTTATTCTCTCATTCTTGATGATTTATCTTTGTCAATCTTTATTTTTGATGCTTTCCTTCTAATTCCTTCTAACTCTCTCATTCTTGATGGTTTCCTTCGAAACCATTTTAACTCTAGCTTTATTCTTTCCCTTACAGCTTATATGCACCAGCAAATTCTTTCAGGCAATATAAAAATTACAAAGTGGTTACATTCTGTTTTTCAAATGAATGATTAGGATGAATACAAGTAAAAAACAACATGTTTTCCATATCCCTTACATGATTAAACATTTTACACATTACAGGTGAAAAACAAATTATCCCAAGAACCCATATACATTCATACCCAAGCAACTTGTTATAGTTTAACAGAGTGTAAGCAAGCAAGATATTCTTTTACTGGCAGGTTGTGTTTTGTGGTTACAAAGAAAGGACTGATCACTTTATTACTTATCTTGAAAGGTAATCTTATAAGGAATCACAAATCTAAACTTTTATATATCAAAAATAATCAGTCAGCTCTATTTTAAATCTTTAGGGTACATACCCTTTTCTTAATAATTTCTTTATATCAGGAGACTGAGGGCAAAAATGGATACAAGGAATTAATCATCACCTTTGATCATCAACCAATCCTAGCCAAAACAAAAAACAAAACAAAAAAAAAACTGCCTTGTTCTTGTTCCTTGACCTTAAAGAGCTCCTCACTCAACTATGTGGCTTTCTAAAATTTAGATTATCTTCTTGGGTTTTTCACCTCAAAGCTATTTAACAAAAACATCTCAGTCTAACTTTAAGTTATTTTCAAAGCTTTCTTTCAGCTGTGATGCACTTCAAAACCTGTGAACATGTCTCCAAACATTAAGGTTAAAGTACTCTAAGCTAGCTGGGCTGCCAGGACTCAATTGTTTTTTCTTAATCATTAACCTATGACACATTCTATATGACACCTCAATAGAAACTCATGTGTCTGGCTGTGTGACACTTCCTTCTTTATATTTTTTAATCATCAAAACTCTATTTAAACTAACATTAATTATTATCAATTAGACAGTACAGCTTAGGAAGAAATCATTTCCATAATAGTCCACAGGTTAAAACACCCATTAGAATGGAAAGTTTGCATGAGATAAACACACTACATTACAGGCAGTGGGGATCTCCCCACACCCATTCACACTATGCCAGGTACCAGAGAAAGATGGTAGCGGCAAACATGTAAGGGCATAGCAGAAGCAAAAGACATTCTGGGGTCTGGGGTCTCGGGGCCTTGCCTGTCTGAGATTCATCCATCAGGGATTTTCCTTCTAGTGGGCTGATACCCTAAACTTCAATTGCCATCTGCTGCTCTTCTGACACGGCCACCAGCAGCCAACCAGTATATAGAGAAAGTAAGACTGAATTTGGAATGAAGCTGAGACTAAAAATTAGAATATTTGGTATACACAATGTTTGAAAAATGAAAGGATTATATTTGCTGGGTCTCATTTCTCCTTTATAAGTAGACTCTCTTAAGTCAAAGCCTAAGGAAAGTGGAGTCCTGAAAAGGAAGCCTGGATGTGGTCATGTGGAGGAGGCACGTGGAACCCTAGTGTCCTTTGAGACTTTCCATCTTCTCAGATTCAAAATTTGAAGATAACTGTGTCTCTGTCACACCACACACACACACACACACACACACACACACACACACACACACACACACAATACAGCAATGCAAGAAAAGGCTCCTCTCTAAGGAGGTAGGAAAGAAATGAAAAATATATGTGAAGGCTTCTGTAACAGTGGTAGACAAGAATAGCAGAAATGGGAATGCAAGCAACTGACTTTAATATTCTCCACTCTTAAAAGCCAACTTCAAATGTTATATATCTTCAGGCTACTGATGGGCTACTTTCCTTTTCATGATAATGGAGCTTTCGTACCTGGCTTATTTCACTCAGGAAGAGCCCTATGTGATGTACAGGAAATCCGATAAGCCCCTATATGGCAACGACAGATTTGAAGGATATTGCCTGGATCTGCTGAAAGAATTGTCAAATATCCTGGGTTTCCTTTATGATGTTAAACTAGTTCCTGATGGCAAATATGGAGCCCAAAATGACAAAGGAGAGTGGAATGGAATGGTTAAAGAACTCATCGACCACGTAAGCAAAAATACACCTGATTGTTTGAAAAATGCCCTAAGTGAGAAAGAGGAGAAAAAAGTAACTGATTCAAAACAATAATAATAATTTTTTACCAAAGCCTTGAAGAATGACTTTGGTGTTCCATGTTGTTAGCCATATACAGGCACACACACACACACACACACACACACACACACACACACACACACACCTCTGGGGAGGGTTGGGTGTGTGGGTGTGTGCACCTTACCCCGATCCCCACCCCTCCATAGTTTCTGTTTTGTCACTGATAAACACTGTAATGTAACCAAAATCCGCCCCTTATATGAAAAGCATTTGTAGTTGAGATTAGGAAGTAGGAATACTCAGGGTAAGTCTAGTCATTCACAGAGAAGGGCGGCAACACAGCTGACAATTTTGAACTTGTTTTTACAGAGAGCTGACCTCGCAGTGGCTCCTCTCACCATCACCTATGTAAGGGAGAAGGTCATAGACTTCTCCAAGCCCTTCATGACCCTGGGCATTAGCATCCTTTACCGGAAGCCCAATGGAACCAACCCAGGTGTTTTCTCTTTCCTCAACCCCCTGTCTCCAGACATTTGGATGTATGTGCTGCTGGCTTGCTTGGGAGTCAGTTGTGTGCTCTTCGTGATCGCAAGGTAAGCTTGAGAATATTGAATTCATGACAATGATCTGTCAGTCACAGACTTCAGAAATTCATGTTTTAAAGTGCAATTTTACTTTTGCTCATTGCTGCATTTTCTCAAGGTCTCCATGTAAAACTATTGTGTGCATTGAAAGCTAATTATCCATAAAGATACATTTTTAAAGAAACAAGGAAGTCCTTAATATTAATTTGACTTTTTCTGTATTTCAATTCATATAAAATAGCTATTTATCCCATTTTCTGAGGAATACAGACCAAAAATGCAATGGATCATCTGGGATAGCTGAAATATTACTAAAAATAATAATAAAATGATTTTTAAGATATTTGGTTCCTTGAATAATCGATTAAGCCAAACAGAAAAACCAGTTAGCTAGGCATCACCATAGCAAATAAAAAACACAGAAAGATTGAAACATTGAAAGATGCTGAAACCTGTAAGGATCAAGAAAAACACTTTGAAAATTTGTGAGATTGTTCTTTAAAATCGTTGGAAGGTTGATAAGAAAATCATGGAAATAACACTGAAATGACATGAGATTATGGAGGACTGATTGGTTGACTGATGATTGATTGATTGGTTCTGTCCCAGGGATGAACTGTAGAGCCTTAAGGATGCTTAGCCCTATGCCACTCAGCTACATCCTCAAGCCATTACAAAAATCTTATTATACTCTGCAAGTTTTCAATTTCAGTTTTATCTTTTAAGGTTAAATTCTGCCTCTATATCTAACCATTATACTTTACACAATTCTTCCAAAGTTTTTTACCCCTCTCAGTAGACCATATATCAAAATGCCTTTGATACTGAATTTGAAACTGCTATTTTATTTATCTGTTCTTTTTAAACATTTGATAGTCATAGATAAACTGTTTTAAAAATTACCTTTTTTTTTTTTTTTTTTTTTTTTTTTTTTTTTTTTGGTTTTTCGAGAAAGGGTTTCTCTGTGTAGCTTTGCGCCTTTCCTGGAACTCACTTGGTAGCCCAGGCTGGCCTCGAACTCACAGAGATCCGCCTGCCTCTGCCTCCCAAGGGCTGGGATTAAAGGCGTGCGCCACCACCGCCCGGCTAAAAATTACCTTTTAATGCCATGTCCTTGTTTTCAATCTTTTTCACCTTTCAACAAAAATTGATAGAAAAAAATTTTCCCTAATCAATTTTTGTCTTCTCTCCAGGAATTTATAAGAGAAATATATCTTCATAGTAGCTCCTTGTCATTGTTCACTGTCCAGTTTTGATTAATGCCTGGTAACTTTTCCCCGAGCATAATTACAAAGAAAGCTTGGGAAAATAACCCAAGCAGGGAATGTACAGAAGACCCATGAGACAGACAGAGTCAAACCAAACAAGTGACCTCTCTATGGATATGAGGGCTAAAGCTTAGGAGTTCTCAACACCTTGTAAAACGTGCCATTGCCAAATCTCAAATTTTATGTTTTTTGAAATAGTAGTCAAAATTCTCTTTCCATACACACACACACACACACACACACACACACACACACACACACACACACACACACAAGGATTATCAATTTCAAAATGTCAGTCATTTCAAGGTCAAGACATTATGCTCAAGAAAATTTAAAGAAAATATTGCTTGAAAATAATTTTTAATCGGCTATTGACCTTTGGAGATTTGTCACGGTAACTAGGGGAAGTGAATATTGCCCTGGGATAGCTGTATTGTAATGAAGTACCCTCTTACAAGGAACACACCACATTGTACCAAATTGTTGCATTTTACATTTCTCTGCTTGGATCTACCCCTAATTAAGCAATAAAAGGGGCAGAGGACAATAAAAATGTGAGTTTTCATATCTTGCATCTATGGTTTCTTCAAACATTAATGCTCACAAATGGAGCAATCAAGGTAATGTTAATGGAAAAGCACATGACTTACTATAGCGAAGTTGGCCAAAGCTGGCAAGAAAACAGTGTGTCAGCATAGCCCAGAAGCCCTGAGAGGCACACAAGCTGAGGGGACCCCTTTGTAGTGCATCCCAACTGAATTCAGTAACACAGAACTGAAAACCAGTTAATCTAATAATAACCTTTTGTTCTAGAGAATCTTTAGAATTTATATTGTGAAATATATCCTTTTATGTTTTTTAAAGTGAAAAAATAAAGTCAAATCTGACATTTAAGCTAACACCCTCACTAAATAGGTCCCTAAAATCATTCATTGGACTGAACTGAATTTATAAAATTAAAAAGCATTAATGGAAGAAGCTAAAGAAAACCTAACAAAATGCCAATTAGGCATGGCTGCTAACAAACTTGTATGTTAGTGTTTTGGTTTGGTGGTTGACTTCCTAAAAATATTTAACCACAAAGAATTAGGTTCATGATGAGCATAGGACTGAAATGAGCCAAACTTCTAAAAATGGACTTACAGTTGTCTTGCTAAAATGGAACTCTTAAAGTTGGCATTTAGCAAAAAGTAAAAATAGGAAAAAGAATGTTCCCTTTAAAGCAGATTCTACAGTTACAGTACAAACTCCATGGTTGTATAACAAGTTCAAATAGATGGATTCTTTTATCTTCAAAGCGACCAATTTCTATTGACAACAAGAAACAGAAAGCCCCCTCAATTAGGAAACTTCACATCAAGGACTACTTCACAACTTTTCACTTCGTGTAAACTTTATGCATCTAAACCTTAACCCAAAGTAAACATTCCCATGTATAAATCCACTAGATTCACTATGCTGAGTTTTGTTGTATTTGTTTTGTTTTGAAACAAGGAAGTTCTTTCTTTGCAACCCAGGCTGTTCTTGAACTTCCTATGGAGACAGGCTGGTCTCACATTGGAAGCAACCCTCTTGTCTCAGTCTCCCAAATGCTGGAATTACAGGCAACACCACCGTGCCCATGAAAAACTATTATATATGCAAGTTGTAGCATAGATCCTAAGCACACTTGTCCATGTGCCATGTTACTGACTGTCCGTACCAACTTACTGAGTGTTTATTGAGTATGGGACAGTCGTTTCAGACGGCCATTCTTTCAGACTATGGATTGGACTTTCCAGTAGACTTCCTGGTGCTGACATGCTGTCCCAGTGGCTTTAGGATTCTACACCTACACAACCAGTGTGTCTTTCTACATTGTAAAATGCCAGTATCTTACAGCAGAGCCTTGTGTCATTGCTCACTATTCGCCAGTTCACGTGCTTCCCAAGTCACTCAGAATCCTGGAGAGAAAGAACTCGCAACTTCCTGAAGAGCTGAGGAGGGTGCTGATGTTTTAGATAGTTTCCCTTTGCTCCACAGAAAGTCCAGTTAATTGCTTACAAGTGTTAAAGTATTCTAACATTTATTTATTTATGTTTATTTACACAGGGAAAAAGTTAAAAAGCAGCATTCCAAGGACGCATGCTCACAGATCAGAGTGTATTTAGTGGGTAAACAACAGAATATCGGTGGTGGGGGGAAGGGGTGGTTGCCAGGTGTTATGGTCTGTTTGAAAAGCCTATATGCTTGAACACATAATCTTCCTAATTTATTGCAATTAATATTTTTAAATTATTGTACAAGGGACAATGATATTGTTTAAGTCACAGCATCTTTAGTCTGCATGCTGTTTCAATTATTAGGTTCATTAATATCGGTATTCGTTCTTTCAGCTCAGCAAACTACTATGGTTATAAGAGTGTATAAATTCAAAACTTAATTATACTGTTGCAACAGTAATTAAAATGTATTGGCATGCACTGTCAATTAAAGCTATGTTCATAAGCTTACAGGAACGTGCATGATGTACCCTGCAGCTTGGGAGAAGCCACAGGAAAGAGCTGGATGATATTATGGTGCAATAAATGACCAGGCTGCTATCCTAACACCCCTAAGACTCCGTGAGAAGACATAGCACACTTTGCAGAAGATATCCAGGGCTTTAGAGAACATTTTTCATTAAGAGAAACTATCTTCCCAGTTCTTTGTTCATGATTCACAGCGTGTCCTGCTTTTCACTGTAGATAATATATTCACCTTAATCCCAGTTCTCCCTGATGCATCTGCAACCTGCTATTGTTTACTGCTGAAGCCTTATGGCTTGGAGAGCATCCTTATGTTCTCATTGGCGCTATGGAATTTTAACATTACTCTAACAATCCTTTTTGCCTTAAAAGGACCCAGTGGCAAATGGCAAAGCTTCCAGTGCTACGAATTATTGCATTTTAAATTATTACAGATTACTTTGCAGAATATCTGGCAATGTCTTTAAAAAAAAAGAAAAGAAAAGAAAGCACACTTTGCTAGGGTTCCCTAAAAGACTCCTAGAGCAAGCCCCTCCTCTGGATTACATAGGTCAGAAAGATTCTTAGAGACTAAAATCGTAATCCGTTCCCCAGATCATTATTTTAAATGTTGCTCCTAGACGTCTGGATTTCCCCATTTTATAAAGAGGCAAACTGAAGCCAAAGAAGTCAAGTCAAATCCTTTGTGTAGATTTCTTGGGTGATTCATTGTATTTCCAGGAACTTAGGAGCCATGGCCTCTTGCAGGCAGAGCGATAATAGTACCACAGAAAACACTTCACACCTAACCAGAGTTGGTGATTACATGACTGTGGGGCATAATTCAGAAAAGAATTCAATTAAAAATAAATCAAGAGGAAAACATGAGCTTCTAATTCCCCACTCTGAGCCTTGAAGTTAATGTTAATATACTAACTGCATTGGTCTATATAGTATATACCTATACCTGGGCTATGGTCCTTTCAAATTTAAACTTTGTCTTTTCATTGAAGAATTGAGGTTTGTATTTCTACATGGTATCTTTGAAATGAGTGATATACTCCCAAATCCAGCCCTTTTTTTCTGTTTATTTATTTTTCTTTATTCTGCATTATTTGTGAAATGTTAGACTCTCTATAGTGTGTGTCCATGGAACCATAAATGTTCCTGGAGGGCACATGGCCCTCACAGCATCTAGCCACACATCAGCTCAACTGTGTAATCGTTCTGTATTCCATGCCACTCTTGCTGCTCCTTGCTAGAGTCAAAACTTGGGATGTGGGAGCTTTTCTTTATGGTTATCCAGTTGCTCAGTAAAATGGAAATGAACAAAAACTCGGAATTCGAGAGACAGGTCTGAGGAATGCAATTCTAGCCACCAACGGGTCTGTCTGACTCTGGAGCAGGAAGCTGGTGAACATTTGCCCAGGGACTTTCACATGTATTTCAATAGAGCTGGAGATGTCTACATACGGTCTTCACTCCTGTGGCTTTCTGCTCAGCTGCTGGGTTTTCTGCGTCACTCAGCAGGCTTTACTCTGCTTCATGTGTCTACCTGATATTTATGAACTGTTTCTGTTGATTACCACAGGTTTACACCCTACGAGTGGTATAACCCTCACCCATGCAACCCCGACTCAGATGTGGTGGAAAACAATTTCACTTTGCTAAATAGTTTCTGGTTTGGAGTTGGAGCTCTCATGCAGCAAGGTACACCGGTTGCCCATGTTGTCACTTGCATCCCACAGTCTGCTGACAAGCTTTCAAGCTGGTAAACTCCACCATGAAACTAGATGGTAGGATGAAACACTCAGAGATACAAAACAACAGCAATAGACAAAGACGGCAATAGGGTCTAAGTGGAACTTCCTTTCTACGTATCTGAAAAGAGCACCTCTTTCCAAAAGGGGACATACATTTCCCTGCAAGTAGTGAAGAATAAGGAACCTATGTTAGTTATTTCCTCATTGGTGTAATCAAATAACTGACTAGAAGCAATGTAAGGGATAAAGGGTTTGTATTGACTTATAATTAAGAGTATATTCCATCTGGTGTGGGAAGCATGGCAGCAGGAGCTGGGGGCAACTGTCACATTGTTTCTGCCGTCCGGAAACAAAGAACAATGACTGCTGTGCCCTGCTCACTTTGCCCATCTGTACTACTTTTTCCTTTTTATTAAGTCGACATCCCCAGCATATAGGAAGGTGCTTCTTACATTCAAGGTCTTCCCACCTCACCCAAACCTCTCTGGAAACATCTTCATAGACATGTCAAGAGTTGTATCTCCTAGGTGACTCTAAACCTTGTCAAGTTAACAGTGATGGTTAGCCATCCCAAAACCTTAGGCTTCTTTTTTTTTTTTTTTAAGAAATGCATTTCCACAGATAGACTTGCCCATCTTTTCCTTCTTAGTCATAAATTCACAAGCCAAAAGTATAAATGGACTGGAGTTTAAACCCTTAGAAGTTTGAATTCACTTGGATTCTTCCAATTGCTAACAGGACCTAGAACTTCCACCTAATTACCACTCTGAGAAACTCTACAGAGATTCACCGTAGCCACCCGATAACTTTTTACAATCTCCTTCAACTGGTAACCATAGCAACAGTAAACTGTAGAGGTTGGAGAAATAAAACTGAAACCGAAGAAATGTAATATATTTTACCTTTCTCTATGATTTCAGAGGTTTTGGGTTTTTTGTTGTGCAAGAAGGAGAAGTTGTTTTAGCCTTTGGAAGCAATCCAACTAGTTTGTGGGTTATCTTCAGTTTGATTTCAGGCATTTGGTCTACCAAATATTTCCAAGATTAAATGCATTAATTTAAGAAAATCATAAGTCACAGATGCTGTTGCATTTGGACTCTCTTTCCACTTAACAATAAGCTACAAAATAAATTGGTGAAAGAAAACCCAACTGGGATATACATTAAACATGTGTGTGATTTGAAAGTCAACTTGAGGTTTTTCATTAGGAGGTTGTTATCATATCATTTGAAATGTTTACATTCTGTGAATCCAACAGAGAGAGAGAGAGAGACAGAGACAGAGACAGAGACAGAGAGACAGAGAGAGGGAGAGACAGAGAATATGAACATGCATGTTGGTCATTGGTATGAAAATACCATATAATTTAAGAAATGGACACTTCTATTTTTGTAGTCATGCATAGTTTATGTGGGGACTGTTAAATGGGTGCAGACACAACCAGATTTAGTAGAAATCACTGCCATGAATTTAGAGCATAAATCCTGCAAGACACCCCCATTGGAAGTTGTGTCTTGCTTACCCAGTGCATTTAATTCTTTAGGGAAATTATCATGTGAGCAATTATTCTGAGAATGAAGGAGGCCTCCTCCCATCCCTACAACTTGCCTTTTCCAGGAATAACAACAACAACAAAAAATACACACAGGTTTCACAGGCCATTCTGCAAACCTACGCAGGTATATGCCTATTGTCATGTACATGTATCCATTTTTAAAACCTTGCTCACATATTTTCCCCATTTGGAGTTTACCAGCATCCACAGCAAACTGTGGGATGCAGTGTCTGTTAGTTACCACTACCTTGGATACATGACAGTCAGCCCCAGCCAGACTCTGCTTGTCTTCAAGAAGTTGACAAACACTCCTCAGGGCCAACGAGCATTTCCAAGTGTAGTGTTTGTGACATCTGCCCTTGATACATGGCGTTGGACCAGGTAGCTATTCATCATCATACTCTCCCCTGTGTGCAGAAGCCTGTTGTATTAAATTGGAAACCACGTTGTTTCGTTTATTTTTTAATGTGATGATCAGACTTTCTCTTTTCTACAGAGCCTGAGCAAAGTCTGGATCAGGATTGGCTGTCATGTCTGCCATAAAAGCCACTAAAGAGACTTCAGCAAGTATTGTCTCATCCTGAGTATTTTCCAGTGGTGTTTTACTCTATACTATTACTGTTCTCATGGCTTCATCCTTTAGGGTACTGAACATGCACAAATCATCTCTTCTTGAGGGAGGCCATTTTGAAATACATCAGATAACATTAAGAATTAAGAAATTCACAAAATGATATGAATTTTTTAAAACAATGCAAAGGAACATTGAGAAATTTCATGAATATATCTAATGAGAATTTAAAATGCAACTCCATTAGATTGCTACCTTTTGCCCTAAATTCCTGAGAATTTCTTCTAAAATTAAAAATATTCATTTTAAAGTAAAAAACAAAAATTTATGTTTGCATGTCAAATCATTATTCATCTATAGATGACTTTCTACTTCCATGCAAAACACAATGATGCATAGATACAGATAAGTTGCAAGCCATCTTTTCATAAATACAACAAAATAACATAAGGATAAACTGATTGCAGAAAATTTGCACCTATGAGCCAAGAAAAACTGTATCTTTAATGTGATATTTTTCTCCTGTGGCTATTTTATAAGATAAATGGTATTTTAATGGTATCTAACTAAAGATCTAAAATAATATCACATTGCCACAAGGCTGCTAAATCAATTAAGTACAAAGATACAAGGCAATCTTGGGCTTTAAGCATACAAACCCATAGGCACATAAATCCTTTTAAACCACAAGATGAAAAAACAACAGCAACAGATTATTCTGCTAAATCCTTGGAGGCAATTTAATGGAAACGGTTACAAATTTGTGTAATGTTACACACCAAAATTCAAACAAACAAAAGAATAGAATGAAAACTACTGTCAAACCATTTATCTCATCAGAGGGATCCAAGCATCATAGACACACTAAGAGCATTAAAGTAATATTTGTGTATTCAAAGCCCAGACACTCTGCCAGCCTGCATCTCCTCATCCTGGCTTTGAGCTGATTTTGATTTCATGAGCAATGCCATGTGTCTGCTTGTAGATTAAACCTGAGTATAAACTCATCCATTTGCAGACTAGTAAACTCCGATTTTTATTTCCATCTCACACCATTAATACCTACACAATATCAAGATACCAACCGAGTTAGTGTAGAGAAAGGATTTTCCAAACCCTTCTCACTGTACTCAAACATTTTGAGTCTCTGGGATTTTCAATGAGAGCTGGCCCCTGCCTGCTTTAACTGAACACATAAATTCGGGCACGACTTCAGGTTCATAGAAGTAATTCTAAGCATATCACCAGGAATAGGTTTCCGGCAAATGGACTAACTGAAATGCATTCATGAATCAGTTCAACTGAAGTGAACTCAATCATACTTCTGGTCCCTTCCAACTTGACTACTTGGGATGTAGATGCCTACAGCTCAAAGTTGAGCTAGACTCCTCTCAGGATGTTTGACCAATAGAACCAATAGAGATAGGAGGATTTTCTTAGTAAACACATATTAAGTATCTCCATGTTACCTTCAAGAAGTAACAAGTGACCTGAATGGTAGCTAAATAGAGTATTCCTACCAGGCACAACATCTCTCCACCTGAAAAAACAGCCAATTTTTTACAAATTATTTATTTAAGGGAAAAATGTGCACTTTGAAGAACAGAACGTGTCCTATTTCAGCCAAACAAGACTGTAAATTAGAGGAAAAAATATATTGTGTGTTTCCTTAAGAGTAACATGAAACAAAACGGTACTCACCCACAAAAAAAAGTGTGTCTGAGCTTCATTTCACATTATCTGAAAATTTCCAATCATTTTGGTTAAGTTGCATGTTATAACTGCATCTGTAACCTTTTGAAAGTTCCTCACATGTTTTAACCTTAAATAAAAATAAGTTACCATTTTAGAGCTTTTCATCATTATAGAAAAATCTAAAATTTCTTATTTTCCTCTAAATAATTCATTAGGCAGTAATAAGGTCAAAAACCTTAGAATTAGCTCTTCACTTTTAAGCAACTAAATACATTTTAGTCTATCTTAGAGCTAAAAGCATCATAAGGCTATCAATTCTGACTACAATTTTGTAAGCAGAAGTAATAATTAATAATAATAAGTAATAAGCAAGACTTAAAGAAAGGATAACTTGGATTTTGTACCAGTTCTAGAAAGCACATTCATTTCATCGTCATACAAGATAGTCTTTGCAGAGTTCCTCTCCCTTAGAATAATGACCAGGGTGAGTCTCCTTTTGCTTGTTGACTTGATGTAACACCCTAACTCTGATGATGCTGTCACAGGATCAGAGCTGATGCCCAAAGCTCTATCAACCAGAATAGTTGGAGGAATATGGTGGTTTTTCACCCTAATCATCATTTCATCCTACACTGCCAACCTGGCTGCCTTCTTGACAGTAGAGAGGATGGAATCTCCCATCGATTCCGCAGATGATCTGGCCAAACAAACCAAGATAGAATACGGAGCAGTCAGAGATGGATCAACAATGACCTTCTTCAAGGTAAGGACCTGGCAAAGCCTTCTTAGTGCTTATCTCATACAGAGATGATGGTGGAGAAGTATAAAAACCTCTTCAACTAGAGAAAAGATATTGGGCAATGTTTCCAGTGAAATGAATTATTAATGTCATAATCCCATTATGAGGAACTACATCCTCACCATAAAGACCTTCTTCTTCAGTCTCTCATTCGATCCATACTTTTTGTTTGTCTATTTACTTATTTCATGTTTGTTTTCTAAAGCAGAGTTTTGTGTAGCCCAGAGTGGCCTCAAACTCGGTATGTAGCTGAGTCCAGCTTTGAACACATGATCCTCCTGCTTTCATCTCTCAAATGTTAGAATTATAGACACAGGCCACCACACTCAGCCTGATTGCCAATATAATACATTCAAATCTACAGATTAGTGTTCCCCTGGCCTTATTTTTTCACATGTATTTATTTATTGTACATGTGACTATATACACACACTACGGCACACATGTGGCAGTCAGAGGATAACTTTTAGGGGTTGGTTTCCTCAGGCCTCTGGTTTCAGAGACTGAACTCAAGTCATCAATCTCGGCAGCAAGTGTCCTTACCCAGACCACCTCACTGGCCCTTCTCTGGCCTTTATATTTGAATACGATACTTGCCTGGATGCTATCTAACGTTGCTTCTACAAAATGAAGATTTAAATAACACTATTTTATTCTGTTTGAGACTTATAAGATAGAAGCATGTGACCAAAAACAAACAAACAAAAAAAAGTTGATAATAGAACTAAGTTGTAGAATTAAAACCAAAAATTCCCAGGAAGCTAGCTATGTCTGCAGCTCTCCAGGAGTCATTAATGTTTTATGAACATCAAAGGAGAATGATGTTAAACTGGGTTGGATTTTATGATCAAGTCCATTTCACTGTCCAGGTCTTTTTAACTAGTGATAACAATAATGAAACTGATTTCCGCCTTGCTGATGAAGTAAGCCTGGGTATTTTTATTATCAAATTTCAGGTATTATACCTCCCATAAAATCAATTCTAGTAGGCCCAGTAGGTTTAGTAATCATGAGGTGTGGCCCCTGACTTTATGAATGAAGAAGACAGGAGTTCGAGGAGCCGAACCCCTTGTGTAGCGATGTGCCTGGTCCTCTCCAGTAGAGGGGCTGCAGCCTTCTGTCGGGAAACACTGATAAACACAGAAATGCAAGTCTAAACTCCTCCAGGATCCCTTCTCACCACAGTTAGAACGGATGCCACCAAGAAAAAAGAAAGATGACAAGAAATGTTGGCAAAGGTGTGGGAAAAGAGGGAATGTTATTCACTCCTGGGGAGAGTGTAACATCATATAGCCATTCTGGAAATCAACACATAGGGATCTCAAAAAATGAAATCTAGAATTACCATATGCCCCCACTGTACCACTCCTGAGCACATACCCAAAAGTCTCCATCTCCTACTACAGATGAACCTGTACATCCACACTCACGATAGCTCTATTCACAATAGCAAGGAAACGGACCAGCCTGGCTATCCATCAACAGATGAATGGATTGTAAAATGTGGTGCACGCATGCAACAGAATTTCATTTAGCTGTAATGAAAAATGGAACCATGATATTTATGAGAAAAAAAAATGAATAGAGCCGGGAAGGAAGAAAACAGATTTTGGATGACAGCAATGGAATATTGCCTGTCCTATGTGCCCCTAGCTCAGAATGTCTATATGTGTATGTAAGTTGTGGGGGTCTGTGAAACTAGGAAGGAGACAGGAGAATAGAGAGGTTCAAGGAAGTGGAGAAGGACACTAAGACGTAAGTGACATGAAATCAAGAGGAGTTGGGAAGGGAAGAAGTAGAAGGGGGGTCAGGGGGATGGGGAGGGAAGGGGTAGAAGGGGTTCAGGGAGATGGGAGAGAAGAGGGTAAGAGAACCAACAAAACTTCTGTTTAATTTCAGGAGGAAAGATAATACTTTTCCTGTTAACTAATTTTATTTTTAAAGAAATAACAAAAATAAAGGTTGGTTGTGTAAGGAAATGAGCTTATGAGTAAACAGAAAACATTTGTAACCAGAAGAAACTCTAAAAGCCCCTCTGCAAAGTTCACACTGGGATTCTTACAGATGAAGTCGTCAGCCCGAGGCTGGGTGGACGTGTAAGATATCCTAACAGAAATTGCTGAAGGAAGACAAAGCAGGCATTGCACTGTCGGGCAGTGTCCGTTCACTACCTAATTGAAGAACTTCAGCAATGATTGCAGTGAGAACAGAAACTGATGTGGAGTAAGCATACCCAGCAGTTTATTAAATAGCAGACTCATGTGGAAAAAGTAGTGTATAGTTTTTTTATATGTTAAGAAAGACATTTAAAAACATTATTATTTTTCATATTAAGGACAAAGTGATTAAGTAGGTTTTTACATCAAAGAGATCATGTCTCCCTTGGAGAGTCATATTTTGAGTAATGATTATAAATGCATACAAGACTTCCCAAGTTTCTAAAAAGTTTGGTAGTTTCTGCAAATCAGTACTGTGACAAGGCACAAGTTCACCAAAGCTAACTTTCATTGTGATACTTGTCATAAACAAGGGAAGTCATGATCAGGCACATGAGACAGAAGAAAACATATCAAAGTGTGAAGTATGTGTATCTGAAAAACCATCCCAAAATATGTATGTTGCTCAACATTATCATGAAATCTTGAAGCACAGGGATATGGGTGACTTTGCTACCCCATCTCACCACAGTCAGAATGGTTGTCACCCACAAAGAAAACTGAAGACTGTAAGTGAGCAGAGGTGATCCCAAGGACTTTCAGATGCACACTTCCAACAGTGGGGGAGGGTTATTCTGAACCATAGACCTGACCTAACTTTTCCAAAATTAGGTCAAACCTCAGAGAAGTCTAGGAGGTTTCTTCCTCAAGAGTGGAGACCTAGTTTACTATTGCATCACCATAATCCAATCTAGTAACTGGTTCAAAGCAAGTACTCAGAAAATACATCCAAGGTACAAACTAGTGACTGGTATACAGTAGATACTTAGAAAACATGTTCATGGTAAATGAGTAAGCATGTAAACAAATAAGAGACAGAGACAACACACACACACACACACACACACACACACACACACACACACACACACACATACACAGAGGATAGGCAGCTAGAAACACAGACCTACAGAAGAAGAGTCCCTGTTTGCCAAGTCCTTCACTTTACACATCAGCCTGTGGCCCAGGGACTCTGTTTATCAAGAAGGAACTTATTTGCAAAAAGAAAACAAGGACTGAATCTGATTTTGCTTTTCCCTTGAGGGAAGCAAGCTGTCAGAAAACTTCAGAGGGTGAACATTCAAGAGTTCATAATCTAGATTGTTTTACAAGGGAAAGAAATATTCCAGCCTTTTAGCTGTCCGGATAGTTTCATCCAGAGAGTTCAGTCACTGAGTGACAGTAGTTATAAGTACAAGGAATCAATCCCATCAATGTCACCCTTGCTATGCCCCCAGGCCTCCCTTTCTCCCTGCCTTTACCTCTTAAGTGAAAGCAAGAACCTCTTCTGAGTGGGAGGATTTGGTCTAACCTAGCACATTCTAGCTGGTGTTTGGAGCAGACAAAAAGAGACCACTCAGTCACAAAAAAGACATTTTCACATTGCATCGCAGTATAATGAATGTCTTTTTCAGAGAACAGAACAGTCTTCTGCAGCACTCCAGTGGTAACAACTGGTCCCTTTATTTCCAAGGCGGGCTCAAATCATTCCAGCATTGGAGAATGGGCAGTTGTAGGGGCCACAGTTATTAACAAAGTCTACAAACAAACAAAATGCACCAATCCCTCACATTTGCTCCCTAGCCTATAAGCAAGGGTTTGGTATTTTACTTTATTTATTTACTTACTTATTTATTTTTATTGAGAGTGTGTGTGCGTGCGTGCGTGCGTGCATGCGTGCGTGCGTGTGTACGTACATACATACAAACATGCATGCTATGGAGAATGTGGAGGTCAGAGGACAAGCTACAGGGGTGGGTTCTCTCCTTTTACCGTGTAGGTCGCAGGGATCAAAGTTGGATTGTCAGGGTTGGCGACAATACCTTTGCCCTCTGAGCTGTCTCACTAACCTGGAACGATGCTACTTCTACAATAGCAATTAAAATTAAAAACAACTTCTCGCAATTTGGTAACTAGAGCTTCCCACAAAGTGTTGCTGCCAAGCACTATTCTCAAAGGATGTTTTTACTAAAGTGCTGTCTCCAAAGTGTGGCAGAAAATTGCTTGCAAAATTTTAAATAAAAACCCATTGACATTTTCTTCTAGACTTTGTTGTTCTTACAAGCAGCGTGATACCTTACATTCCAAAGGACTTGTATTCAATTCTCAATCTTTTAAATGAACAAAATTTATGCTTTTAAAACAGCCCAAGTGAGTTTCTCTTTTCCATTATTTGGATTCAGATAAAGTGTAGATTAGCTGTATTTTTAAAGATGTATGTTTTTAGTGTTTTTGAGTGCATGTGTGTGTGCATATATGGTGTGTGTGTGTGTGTGTGTGTGTGTGTGTGTATACATGAGTGCAAATGCCCAGAAAAGCAAAAAGAGGACATAGGATCCTCTGGAACTAGAATTACTGACAGTTGGACAGTTGTGAGATGCTCAATATTGGTGCTGAGAACTGAACTCAGGTTCTCTGGATGAGCAATCAGTGTTCTAACTTCAGCGTCATCTTTTCAGCCCCCTAGCTGATATTTTTGAAAGCAATAAAAAGCTGGGTAAGTATATGTTTCAGATGAGGGAGGCTTTTCTTTCATTGAGTCATTTCTATGTAGAAACACATTGGTCATCTAAGACTATTCATATTTGGGTGCGGGGGGGGGGGATTGACACACAGCTTACATTTTACAAAGTTTCAGAAATCTTTAAACACACATCCTGAAATTCTAGCTGACATTTCCCATAAGGAAAATAACAACTGTACTTTTTTGGCCAAGGTCAGGGAACTAATGATACTTATTGTACACTG